CCTCAGGTAGCTGCGTCTGCGTCCGCGTCAGGTCAGCTAGTAGCCTCCTGCTCGTGTCGTGCCCTGTCGCACCAGACTCTCCTTTGGCACCACCGCCTTGGTCACCCCTCTCTGCCACTCCTTCGTGACATGCACTCTCGCCTTCTTGTCTCTGGTCTTCCCAGGTCTCTGCCTCCCCTCCCACCCTCGCCTGCTCCTCCTCGCCTTCCCCGTGTCGAGGGGGGGCAGCGCGCCGCTCCTCACTCCTCCTTGTTTCCCCCGATGACTGCTCCCCTGCAGACTCTCCACTTGGACATTTGGGGCCCAGCCCGCGTCCAGGGACAGGGCCGCGAGCGATACTTTTTGCTGGTTGTTGACGACTACTCGCGTTACACCACGGTCTTTCCCTTGCGTAGCAAATGTGAGGTCCCTGATGTCTTGATCCCTTGAATCCACGCTCTCCGTCTCCAGCTTCGCGAGCGGTTCGCCACGGACCTTCCTGTTTTGCGTCTGCACTCTAACAGAGGTGGTGAGTTTTCCTCCGACCTCTTGCGAGACTTTTGTCGTGGGGAGGGCATTCGCCAGACGTTCACGCTTCCAGACTCTCCGCAGAAAAATGGGGTTGCTGAACGCCGCATTGGCCTAGTCATGGAGGTCGCTCGTACCTCCATGATCCATACGGCTGCCCCCCATTTTCTGTGGCCATTTGCAGTCCGGCACGCTGCACATCAGCTCAACCTCTGGCCCCATGTCTTCTTGCCGGAGACCTTGCCGACACTGCCTTGGATGGGAGAGGTTGGCGATGCGTCAGTGTTCCGGGTCTGGGGATCTCGTGCCTTTGTTCGCGATACCTCTGCGGACAAGCTCTCCGCCCGCGCCATTCCCTATGTCTTCCTTGTTTTTTCCCCTGACGTGCCTGGCTAGCACTTTCACCACCCCACCTCGCGCTGTGTTCTATCCTCTCAGGACGGCACGTTTGACGAGTCGGTTCCCTTTTACCGTCTCTTCCCCTACCGCACTGCCCCTCCCCCTCCCCCGCCGCTCTTCCTTGCTCCAGGTCCCCCTCAGGGTCCTGCTCCTTCAGGTGTGTCTCAAGTAGACCCACTCCCCTTGGTTGAGCCTGTCGAGGTCACTGGTGACTCTAGTGCTCCTGGGGGTGCTGAGCCTACGGGTGTTGAGCCTGAGTGTGAGGAGCCTAGGGGTGTTGAACCTGTGCGCGAGGAGCCTGGGGGTGCTAAGCCTACGGTTGCGGAGCCTGAGCATGAGGAGCGTGGAGGTGCTGAGCCTGCGAGTGCGGAGACAGGGGGTGATGCGACTGAGCGTGCGGAGCCTGGGGGTGCTGAGCCTGAGCGTGCAGAGCCTGGGGGTGCTAAGTCTGGGGGTGGTGAGCCAAGGGGTCCTGCGTCTACACTACGGGAGCCTCTCTCACCACAGCAGTTGCGCGAATGGTATGCTCGGTGCTGTAGCCTTTGGTGTGGTGCTGCTGGAGCTGGAGACCCTGAAGCTGCTGGTCCTGGAGGTGTTGGTTGTGCTGGCACTGCTGGTCCCGAGGGTGCTCGTGCTGGTGGCGCTGGAGCTGCCGGAGCTGGTGGTGCTGCTCGTGTTGGAGGTGCTAGAGGTAGTGGAGTTTTTGGAGCTGCTGGAGCTGGTGGTGGTGCTGCTGCTCGAGGTCCTGGAGCTGCTAGTTCCGGAGGTGCTCGTACTGGAGGTACTGGAGCTGCTGGAGCTGGTGGTGGTGGTGCTGCTACTGGAGGTGCTGGAGCTGCTGGTCTTTGGGGTGCTCGTACTGGAGGTACTGGAGCTGCTGGAGCTGGTGGTGGTGCTGCTGCTGCTGGAGGTGCTGGAGCTGCTGGTCCCAGGGGTGCTCATACTGGAGGTACTGGAGCTGCCGGAGCTGGTGGTACTATCGGTACTGGTGGTGCTATTGGAGCTGGCACTGGTAGTCCTGGAGGTGCTCGTCCTGGAGGTTCTGGAGGTGCTCTTTCGCCGCAGCAGCTACGCGAGTGGTACACTCAGCACTGCCGCCTTCGGAGTGGCGCTGCTGGGGCTGGAGGCGCTGCGGCTGGAGGCGCAGGAGCTGGAGGTACTGGCACGGCCGGAGCTGGTGGTGCTGCGGACTCTGGAGCTGGAGGCCCTGGAGCTGTAGGCGCTAGAGCTGGTGACCCGGGAGCTGGAGGTGCTGGAGCTGGATTTTCTAGAGCTGCTGGAGACCCTTGAGCTGCTAGTACTAGTACTGGGGGTGCTCGTGCTAGAGGAGTTGGTACTGGTAGTGCTGCACCGCCGCGTCTGTTCATCGCTCCGCCGTCACCGTCGTCTGTGCCGCCGCCTGGCTCGGTGCTTCGCCAAGTTCTTAGTCTCCCGTTACAGCCAAGCTCCCGACAGCCTGCTCCCTCTCCTTACATTGAGCGGACAGGAGGTCTTACTGAGCGTCGTGAGCGTGCGTCTCGTCTTGCCTCGCCTGTTCGCGCTGGTCGCACTAGTCGCCGTGTTCCTCGTGAGCGTCCTCCTCCTACCCCCGGCACACAAACTATGGCACTTCGTCCTTCCTCTGTTCCACAGTGTCTTCCCCTGTCGTCTCCTCCTGCGTCCTCTCTTCCGCACGTTCCGGACCCTGATCCTGACTTGGTTTGTGCTGCCAGTCCTACTGTCACACGTCTCTTAGCCACTGCTGTCATTGACCCTTCGTGTGAGTCTGCTGCTGCATCTGCTTTAATCGCTGAGCTTGTTGACATTGCTGCTGCTTGTCGTCTCGACTTCGCTGCTAGTCTTTTTGTTGAGTCTGAGTATGTCTGTCCTCTATCCGTCGGGGGTGAGAGTGCTCTAGGCATGGACGTCCTTGAGGACAGGCATGAGGACTTTGAGTGTCTTGCAGCCGCTGCACCTCATCTCGTGGCCATGCTGCTTGCCCTTGAGGGAGACCCGGATGCACCAGACATCCCGACCCCGCGCTCTTACGCTAAGGCGATCACGAGTGAGTACTCCTCTCAGTGGCAGACAGCCATGGACGCAGAGATGGCATCCTTGTAGTCCACAGGCACCTATGTCGGCGCAGTTCCCCCTCGTGGGGCGAACATAGTCGATGGCATGTGGATTTTCAGGGTGAAGCGGCCGCAGGGTTCTCCGCCTGTCTTCAAGGCTCGTTACGTTGCAACAGGTTTCAGTCATCGACAGGGAGTTGAATTTTTCCAGACCTTCTCCCCTACCACGAAGATAACCAATATTCGGGTGCTGCTGCACGTTGCCGCTCAGCGTGACTACCAGCTTCACTCTCTTGACTTCAGCACAGCTACATCCTCGTGTACGTCGACGACTTGGTTTTTGCCACTGTTGACACTGAGGCACTCGCCCTTGTGAAGTTGGAGTTGCAGAAGAGACACACGTGCACAGACCTGGGTGAGCTGCGCAGCTGTATTGGCTTGCAGATTACCCGGGACAGAGCACGACGCACCATCACCCTGACTCAGTCACACACGGTGCAGCAGGTCCTTCAGCGCTTCGACTTCGCTTGGTCCTTGCCACAGTCCACTCCTCTGGCTACCGGTCACTCGCTCACAGCTCCACCTTTGGACGAGTCCGAAGAGTCGAGTGGCTCGTACCCAGAGCTAGTGGGCTTCCTCATGTACCTGATGACCTGCACTCGTCCTAACCTTGCGTACCCTCTTGGCCTTCTGGCATGCTACGTGGCTCCTGGTAGGCACCGAAAGGTGCACTGGGATGCTGCAAAGAGGGTACTGCGTTACTTGTGCAGTACATCGAGCATGGGGCTCGTGCTTGGAGGGCGGGGTCCAGTTGTCCTCAATGGACAGTCAGACGTTTTGTGGGTTGATGACCTGACTACGCAGCGGTCGTCTCAGGGTTACTCATTCAGCCTTGGCTCCGGCTCTGTTTCTTGGCGGTCTACCCGCTCATATTCTATTCTCAGCTCCAGTTGTGAGGCTGAGATCTACGCAATAGCCATGGCTGCACAGGAGTTACGCTGGCTCACCTACCTGCTGATCGCCTTGGGAGAGCGGCCTCGTTCTCCTCGAGTTCAGTACGTAGACAACAAGGCTGCAATTGCCTTGTGTCAGGAGCACAGACCTGAGCATAGAATGAAGCACATCGCTCTGCGTTACTTCCTTGCTCGAGAGATGCAGCAGCGTGGTCAGCTTCGTCTTGCTTAGGTGTCCACTCGGGCCAACACTGTTGATATATTCACCAAGGCACTTCAGCCTTGTGATCATCAGCACTTTTGTACTGTGTTGGGCCTTGTGCCTGTTTTGCCTCACTTGCTCAGTGCTTGACATTGCTTGTACTGTGACATATATATATAGCATGCTTACTCTTGCCAAGTAGTGATCACTGTACTGTTTTCTCGCTTTTATATACCTCTGCATGTGGACCGGCCCTGTGGCCATTTGCTTGTGCTTAGAGTGTGTGTTGACTTTGTGATCCACCCTGAGCTTGCTTTGCTTTTATTGACTGGTCTTGTGACCCCTTGTTCTCCACCACTTCGCCTATGGGGATGTGTCAAACCATAATGCTACTTGTGTTGTGTAGACTGTAGTGGGGTAGTCTATATGGGGTACAACCAAATTACGGTATTCTTGTATTCAGTTTGATGTCAATGCAATCATTCCTGCTCATTAGTTTCTGACATATGTGTGTGCGCGCATGCGCATGGGTGCGTGCGCGTGTGTAAGCATGTGTCTATGTGTGTGTGCGTACGTGCGCACACGCGTGCGCGTATGTGTGTGTGTGTGTACGTGTGTCTGTGAATGTGTGTGTTTGTGCATGCACACGCATGTGTGTGTTTGTCTATGCATGTGCGGCGTGCATACGTGTGTGTATGCATGCGTGTGTATGCGTAGGTGCGTCTTTGTGTGTGTGGGGGGGGAGGAAGGGTTGCGAGTTGCGCTATGGTGAAGCCTTCGTTAATGCTTGTGATAACCATTTGGTTACTCCAACATCAAAGAGTGACGCAACTCATAGATCTCAAGAAACCCATGGGTCCAAAAGCTTGTAACAGTTTGGAGAGCACATCACACACTAGGGTAATCAACCTGCACTTCCATGTGTTCCACACGAGCCATTTCGACATCAAAGTCCACCGAATCAGCTGAGCTGCCAATCTCCTTGTCAATTCGGCATGCAGCTCTGTGCACCTCAGCCCCCATGATCTCTTCCTTCATGGCCAGCAAATCCCCCAATACTCGCGCCATGGAGGGGCGAGAGGCAGTGGGCATGGCAGTGCAGGCGAGCGCAAGACGGGCCATGCGCAGCACAAAGTCGTCTGGAGCATCCAAACGAGGGTCCTTGAATGCTGCCACATCACTGGATGCCACCAATGGCGCCACCTGGTTGGGATCAAAGACCACAGCGAAGTGATTGGTGCCATGGCCTGACTGTCTGCTGCAAAGTGGTGTCACAACTTAAGGTCTGATGAATGTGCATTTACACTGAGGAAGTTAAGTAACCACTTTTACGATAAGGGAGCTGTTGATTCACATGTTATTGACTCACCCATTGCCTGAGGTTGATCTGCCTATCGTCTGTCATATACACAGCCTTGCGTGCTGTGATAACTACCAGCATCACCACTCCAAAGCTGCCCATGACAGGAAACAACAGCATGAATGAGGAAAAAACAAAGTGCTGGTTTTTAAGTTCTTGTTACTTATGTTCTCATTTTGCTACTGTTAATAGTTCTTCTTCTGTGCATGCACAGTTTGTACATAAATGAAATGCCCTGTGTTAATCATCTCACCTGTGCACGTCTGCAGCTGGAGTGGCCTTTTGCGTCTTGAAGTAGGCTGGGTCCACATAGCCCGGTGTGCCCATCACTCGAGTGGCAGCCACAGAGGAGCCCATGCAGGTGCCTCCACTCAGCTTCACCAGCCCAAAGTCTCCTATCTTGGCCTGCCCATTAGAACCAAGGGAACATCGAAGTTCATTTGAAAAGAATTTTACGGGAAAACAAAAGCAAATATATATAACATGCTTTGCGAGAAAGCAAGGCATGAACAAGAAGGTGGGAAAAGAATCAAAACTAGCAAGCAGGTGAAGCTATAATGTATCTTCGAGCATACTTGCATCTTTGCATCGAGGAGGATGTTGGCTGGCTTGATGTCACGATGCACGATGCCAAAGTCATGGAGGTACTGCAACCCCTTTGCCACTCCAATCAAAACATCCAGTCGCTGGCGCAAAGTGAGAGGATGGGCGATACCCGGTCCGATCCAGCTCTCAAGATCATTGTTCACCATGTACTCATACACCAAGATCTGCTCTATGTGCCTTGTTGTCGTGTTCATATCCATACAGTATCCAAGCAGCCGCACAAGATGGGGATGGTGCTTGCTGGCCATTTCCTTCACCTGCGGATACACAACATTTGGACGGCAAAATATGAAAATTGTTGAGTGAAGTGGACCTGGACCATACACATGTTACAAAGCATGAAGCAGCAAAACATAACAAACAAAACGATGGGAATTCATTATCATCAGAGTCCTGAATAACAGTGCAAGCAAGGTGCAGCCGCCCCGACGATTTTCTAGAGACGACCCATTTTATGGAGGAACAATACGCTGGCCCAGGGTGTAGCAAAAAAACCTCGATGGGAAATGGAATAAACATCGGAAAAGGAATACAATTGCATGAGCTCAAACTACCTACTCAAGTTTACCTCTGTGAGAAAGTCATTGGTGAGCACTCTGGCTCGTTTGACGGCCCACACTTGCGAGCGGTTGTGGGGAGACACGCCCTTATACACATCACCAAAGCTGCCGCTGCCAATCCTGTTCCTCTCTGCCCACTCCGCTGTTGCCTTTGCCAGCACGTCCAGGGAGCACTCTTGGCACACCTGTGGCCGTGCTGCATCCATCTCCTCCACCACACCTCCATCCACCACCCCTGCTGATCCTGCTTTTGCTGCTACTCCTGCTGCCGCTGCTATGGCTGCTGCTATTGCTTCTGGGTCATTTCCCTCTGCGTGTCATGGGGTTTGACCAGTGGAAAGAGCAGACTTATCTCAATTGACTATGCAGAAAATGGAAACAGATTCGACATAAATTGGCAGAAAACGAAAACAGGAGCAGATGAAAAGCATGAGTGAGTGGATTGAAGTGTGAGCGGAGCAGAGCCCGGGTGGAAATGATTAGGTTTGAAGGTATGGCAATAACAACGTACCTCTTTTTGGGTCCCGTCTTGTTGATGCTGCTGCTGCTGCTGCTGCTCCTGCTTTGGCTGCCATGGCTGCTTCTGGATCTTCTTCCTTCCTCAGTGACTCTGCAGTTTCAAGGTTGTGAGTGGTGTGAACTAATAAATTGGAGTCATGGAGAATTATGAAAAGAATATCAAGATGCAGGTTGTTTGGAGAAACCAGGAAATTTGTGCGTGATTGAGGGGTGTACCTGTTTGGGTTGATATAAAAACGGGCAAAAGCTTACTCTTTTTTTGCCCCCCCTTTGCTGCTGCTGCTCCCATGGTTGCTTCTGAATCCTCTTTTGTCCTGTGTGAAGCTGCATGTTCAGGGATGTGATTGGTTGTAAGAGAGTGCTTGCTCATCAAACTACAAGCTCAAGACATGAAGACTAACAGAAAGAAATATGATGCTCACGAGTCAACAAACTTTGATATTCCCATGATTTCCCCCGCAACCACTAGTCCACCAACAGAAGAGTGGTTGGAACAATGCAACGTTGTGCAGCTGGCAACACTTTCACCAACTTCATTGAACGCCTACAAAGGTTAACAGTCATTTCATCCTCACACAAGAGACAAGCTGTCCGCTTCTGCACAGAGGGTCTTCTTAGAAAAGAGCAAGGACCAGCCAGCCAGGAGATCTCAGAGCTACATGACCAGCAGGGTTTAATTTATGTGGGATTCGATCCACGGTCAGCTTAGCCGCATGCTGCTCGTCATAACAACGAGCAGCGGCTCACCTGGTGGTGTACTTTGGGAAACTGGTGCACTCCCTAGCAGATCGTGAACCAATCTGATGCTGAAGAGTTTTACTGTTATTGATGGCTTTTTCTCTGCCATCTAAGAGAGAGAAAATAGTCTAGACTGAGAGAACAGCCTGTCACAAGCACCGGTACATTGTGTACCTTGGTTGATTTATAGGGAGAAAAGGGTTCACCTTCGAGACTTTTGCCTTTCACAGATTCCTTTTGCCATTTGGCAGTTGCTGCTGCTCTATGTGTTGCCCCTCTTGCACAACGCCTCATCCAAAGCAGAAGGCCAACCACCAGCAGCACCAAGAAAACCGCACCACCAGCAACTATACCGGCAATGGCTCCCACTGACACTGGGACTGACACTGGGATGAGAGAAAGCAATGTTAGCAAAAGAGATTGATAGAGTCAAAGGTTGTTACAAAAAGCATGCTCAGGCGCAGAAATGAGCACCAAGATAATCAATCACATGCTATCAAGTTATCCTTAGAGCTTGACAAACAGTCAGCGGCATTGGCAAGAACTGTGCGTAATCTCGCAGTAAAAGTTATTCTTACATTTGTCACATGTATTGCAAAACGAGGTGCATTTTGTGCAGAAGGCACTTGAGCTGTTCTGTGTGACAACGCAGCCGTTGTAGTCCGGAGGACATGCGACTCCATCTCTGTGGCTGCTTTTGTGGATACATCATACAAACTCAGGAAATGTGTGAGTCTGTTGCTTCTGTTTTCACAATATGTTCGTTGTAACCCACTGAGAATGCAAACAAGAATGGGAAAACAGACTAGGTACATATGAGGAAGTATGAGAGGGAAAAAACAGAGTACAAAGGAACAAGTAAGAGAGAGAACGCAAGTGTGTTAATGGGGAACACTGACAGCTGTGTGAGACGGCTCAAGCTGCCCATTTCTGGTGGAATGCATCCAGCAAATTTGTTCCCGTCTAGCCTTCTGCACAAGACCCGATCCATGGGTAGAGTAAGAATGAACGGGGATATGGAGAGTACGATAGCAATGGTGAGTCACTGTGTGTTGGTACAATCATGGAACAAGTACAAGTTGCTGAGACTTGGAATCCTAATGAGGCACGATATGGCATATGCCAGAGCAGTGAGTTGCCAGTATGCAGGAACAAAACATGCTAACGCCACCCACATTATGATGTTTCGGCATGTGTAGAGATATTGAGCTGAAGGGATCAATTAGCAAGTGCACACACGCATGGAGCCATTGGTGAAGTTCAATGGCTCCATACGCAATGCAAACTGTTCTAATAAGATGTACTGACAGATGTGTGAGATTGCTCAAGCTGCCGATGGTTGTTGGAATGTATCCAGATAAGTTGTTCCAATCTAGATTTCTGATGGGCCAATAGGTGGAGTCCACACGTAGAGGAGAAACAAGAAAGGGAGGGATGTTGATAGTAAATGACAATGCGGCAAAAACAGCACTTCAGCCATACTGTGACGCTGGTAGAATCTTTGCTGCTATATTCATCGAGGACATATTCAATATCTGGATACAATCAACTCTCGAGACTTGGAAATACAACAGCAGAAAGACTCTGTAACAAAAGGTCTTACTCGTATTCACGCAAGATAAACACAGGCGTTTTGGCCAATTTGAGGCACAAATGTTAAAAAAGGCTCCAATTAGGGGAGGGGATTGCCATAATGCCTGGTGTTTTCCATACTTCAACTTCCAGATGTGTGCTCCGATGGTTCATGGGTTGAGTGAAGGGAGGGAGGCCATGGCCGACCAGATGTGAAACGCACATAGCTGCTCATGTGAAAGAAACGAAAGTACTGAAGGCGGATACTGACAAATATGCCAGGTTGCTCAGGCCACCAATTGTTGATGGAATCGACCCTGTCAAGCCATTCTGGGGCAGATATCTGAGGGAACAAATGATGGATTACATGTGTACACGTATAGGAGAAGAAAAAGAAAGAGTAGATAGGGGTGGTGTGAGAATCTGTTGGCTTTGTGCATCTGGAAATTGAGAACATACTGAAGGTCCAGCAATGGAGGTGAATTGAGCATTAGCTTAATAGATATTGTTGTTATGCATGAAAGATGGGCTGAATGGATTGCCCACCTTTCCTGACTTGTGGTTTATATGCATGATGAAATGGCATGACAATGCACATAGGTGAGATTCCCTGACGTGTTTCATTTTATACCACATCACAGAAGCAAGCCTTTGTGCCGCACTCTGGCCTGGACTTGACAATTTCTTCAGACACCGTTTTCCAATCACGTGTGTGTGTGTGTGTGTGTGCGCGCGCGCTAAGCGGGGGAACTCACAAATATGTCAGCTTCATCAAGTTGCCAATGGTTGATGGAATAGGCCCGTTAAGGTTGTTTGAGAACAGATCTCTGAAATTAGAGGGAAGAGTACAGGGAGTCTACCATGTGCCAGTGGTTGTGATCACATGAACACGAATCAATTGAACCAGTGGTGTCAAAAGAACTAAACGTGCTTTGCCCTTTTTGGTGCTTTGCCCCTAGCTTGTTCTTTGCCCTTTTTTTGTGCTGTGCCCCTAGCTTGTGCTTTGCCCCTTGCTTGTGCTTTGCCCCTAGCTTGTCCTTTGCCCCTTGCTTGTGCTTTGACCCTTGCTTATGCTTTGCCCCTTGCTTGTGCTTTGACCCTTGCTTGTGCTTGTCAACGGGAGTTGGGTGTGGCCCCGTCCTCGCTTTGGCGAAGACGACTTAGTGGTCGGGTGTGAGGGGAGCAGCCGACCTGCAGTAGTGGGCGAACTGGTCGACGAGGCTGGTCGACTTGCACGGGGGCCACCGTAAGGGCGTCGACTTCAGGAGGGCGCCGACTTCTTGGAGGTCGACTTGGGAGGTCAACCTGTGTAGGGCGTCAACTTTGTGACGCCGACCTGGTGAAACCGACTTAGGCGGTCGGCTGACAGCTGTTGTGAGAGTACGGCGGCTTATGCCAGCTATGCTTGCTTGAGTTTACTTTATCATGCTATTTCTAGCATATGATAATTATATGCATGCATGAATTGCTTGATTTCCTAGGCTAGGTGCTTTCCTATATTTTATTATAGTTATAGCACCGAGCTAGGTTGCGTGCACCGAATTCTGGGCTTTTCAGTTGCCACCGAATTGCCTTCTACCGAATTCGGGAAGAATATGTTCGGGACGCTTCGCGACCCGCGGAACCTTCACGTAACACCTGGTTACTGGGCCTTGTGTCGAGCCTATATATAGCCTCATGTTGTACCCAGGTGATAATTCAATTACAATTCTCTTTTCTGAGCTCGATCCCAGGTGTTGGAGCAGTACAAGGATATAATGCCTGACGACCTACCCGAAGGCGTACCTCCAGCACGCACCCACGAGCACGAGATCGTGGAGGAACCAGCTGCGAAACCCGTCTCACGTACACCATACCGA